AGCCTGGACACCGGCAAAATCCTCAAGGTTAACGGACATCAACTCAAACCGTTCCTTGAAAGTTTTTCAAAAGAAAGCGTTGAATGCATGGATCTCGTCGATCCAATCTATGAAGGATGAACTATACCATGGCGTCGTGCCGCGACGTTAAATTAGGCGCTTCTTGGGAGGCAACCCAAGCAAGGTATGTTTTCTTGTCAGCTTATTTCATTATGTGTGTGTTTCAATAAATAAAAAATAAAAAAAAAATGAGCAAAAAGTGTATCTGGGGACATGCCCGATCGAGTACTATATCAATACTCGGTCGGGTATGGGTAAAAAAAGGACCCGGTTCCCATACTCGATCGAGGTGCAAATCTATTTTCAAAGATACAGGCATACTCGATCGAGTATTGGAACATACCCGGTCGAGTATGCCTGGAAAATCAACTCCATCGGAAGCCTGCCTCTGAGGCCCGATCGAGCACATACCCATACTCGATCGAGTATTTGTGGAAAAATGAAAACAAATAACCCCTGCCTCCTATACCCGATCGAGTACATATCAATACTCGGTCGAGTATAGGTGCAAAAACAACTTCTCTGACCCCCTGCCTCCTATACTCGATCGAGTATAGGTACATACTCGGTCGAGTATACACCGAAATCAGCCTTCCTGGAACCCTGCCTCCGGTACCCGATCGGGTATACAGGGATACTCGATCGGGTACCCCTGCGGATATAACACCAAATTAACCCCAAAAACACTTCATCTTCCCCAAACTCTCCCCAACTTCGAACAACCCTCCCCCAAAACTCCATTTTTGGACCTTCTCTCTACCATATCTCACCCAATCCTTCACCAAATCATCCCATTTCACCACCAAAATACCCCCCTCACTCTCCTCTCCATATCTATACCCAAAAATCCCCTTTTCCCCAAATATTCAACAAATCCAAAAAAAACCCTACCCCATTCGAATTTTTGCCTCTTTAAGCTCAAAAGCTTCACATATGGCACCAAGGAGGAATAGGGGAGAGAGCTCAAGCACTATAGCACCTATCCCGGGCTTTGAAGACATCATTCCCGCCAACGCCGAACACCGAACTCGCCTCCTATCGACAACAAAAAGGCAAGTAAAACCTTCCCGTTTTCTATGCCATGATGCACTACGTGAATTAGGAGTGTATAAGATTATGAGGAAATTCTTTCATCAATTGGACATGGACCTTGTTTTCAATATGAGATACAACTCAAATGAAAAGATTATTTATGAATTCATGAGTTCAGTGCACTTTGAAAGTGATGAGGCGGATTTTAGGGATGATAGACTCGAGTTTCGTCTGTTTAACCGAAACTATTCGATAACGAAACTCGAGTTTTCCGAACATTTTGGCATCCCCGTCCCCTACGAAAGGTCCATCTCCGATAACACCATTTTTGGGCATTCTCTATGGACCAAGATGACTGGGGAAGTGGACTTTAGCTCCTCCCAAATGTATATAAGTCATGTCCAACACCCCATCCTCCGGTTGTTTTTAAAATTCTTGGCGAATTGCTTGCTTGGCCGGCCCAACAACCATCACACTAGAATAGGGGATGTGTGTTTGATCTCCGTAGCTTTATTTCGTCGTCATGTGGACTTCAATTTGTGCAATCTCATTTGGGCACACCTCAAAAAGGAAAGCGTGGCAAAAGGAGCCATTGTAATGGGTGGAGTAATCATGCACTTGGCAAGCAAGTTCGGGTATACGGATAACTCTCCGATACCCGACTATTGTTTGATGGACATAGGTTGGCTAGGCCGCTCGGGGTGCACCGCTTTCTCCCATACGGTCTATGATGGGGATCAACAGAAGAACATGTATAATTGGATCATACACACCAAACCGGTCCAATACTTTCTAATGCCAAACAGAGACCTCCCCAAAATAACCTATAGACCGGAGTTCGAGGTGCCCCATTTCCTATTCCCTCATGCCCTTCCACCACATCTCCAAGAACCACAAGCCCAAGATCTCCCAGAAGACCAACCCGACCAAGAACCTCAACCCGAGTACCAAGAACCCGAGGTTGCACATCACTACCTACCCGCACCAAACCAAGCCCCCCCACCTCCCGATTACTTCCAACAAATGCTTGAAGGACTCAACAAAGTTACCAATGAAGTTGGTAAATATCGGGAGGAACAAAGGGCGGGATTTCAAAGACTAGAGGAACAACGGGCCGAAGACAACCGCAGATATGAAGAAGATCAACGTAGGTTTTATGGACCTATGTACTCTTACATGGCTCATCAAGGCCAGTTCCATACCATGGCTCACCCACCCCCACCCCCCTCTTGGTATGACCCCACTCAATGGGGCAACTTTGGAGGATCGAGCTCCGGGGGTGGTGGTTTTGATGGCGGGGATACTCACATGGGAGACGGCAACTTTGGAGGAGGCTTTGGAGGCGGCTTCTACGGCGGAGAAGGCGGGCACTAGGGACAGTGCTACAACTAAGTGTGGGGGAGGAGATTACTCATGGTATGTAATTTCATTTTCTACCTTTTACTATGCATGAATTTCTTTTACCCTTTGTAAACAAAAAAAAAAAAAAAAAAGAAGAAGAGAAAAATGGATAAAAGAATTGAAATGCTAGTTAGGTTGAAAACCCAAAAATGGGCAATCTAAGCAAAAAAATGGCTTATAAAAAAAATGAAATGAGTGAGTTAGTGAGGATGGAAAAACAAAAAGAGATGCTAGGATGAAAACCTGAAAAGGCTCCTAGGCAAAATGAGAGATATGAGAGAAATATTTGTTGAGTGCAGGAACTCATTTGATCTCTTGAGGAGAAAAGAAGAGAAGGCAAAGAAGAGAAGGCAAAGAAGAAGAGGCAAGAAGATGGAGCATAGAAGATCATAAAACCCAAGAAAGAAAGTTGTTTGTAAAATCATTTTCTTATTTCTTGGTGATCTTAGTTCATTTCTTTCTTGAACTCATGGAATGGTCTTAAACTGTTTGAACATTTGACTTTACTCGAGGACGAGTAAAGAATTAAGTGTGGGGGAGTTGATACGTTTGTAATTTCCGTATGTTTATTTACGTTTTTAGTTAGTTTTGATTGTTTAATATTTCGGAAATTACACACTTTCGGTGTAATAGTTTAGTTTGTTAAATTTTTGTAATTTGTTTAGATTAGGTTTATTCTGAGCTTAAACAGGTCCAAGATCAATCAAATGATCAATGGTGAAGGAAGGTGCAAGAGTACAAGACAAAAAGAAGGAAAAATCCTGATTTTGGTCTATACTCGGTCGAGTATATATATATACTCGATCGGGTATCTGGTTGACATTTCAAATCGGATCGGATCCGAAAACAAAGGAACATGCAGAGGAAGATTTACCCACGATCGAGTGTCTATACCCGATCGAGTACACCGACATACTCGATCGGGTATAGTTATAAAATTTACTCTAAAACCGATCGAGTATGGGTCGAATTCTGATTTCTACACATACTCGATCGAGTATATGTATATACTCGATCGAGTACCCGACCTACACCTCAAAAAGCCTATAAATACACCTCCTTTCCTTCACAATAGGGTCACCAATTCACATATACTTCTTAGCTCAGTTTAGACAAGTTCTTTCTTTATATTTTTCATCATGTTTAGTCTCCAAATGAGGAGCTAAACTCTTCCATCTTGGTTTTGCTCTTTTGAAGCTTAATGAATTTGTAAGTTGTGAGTTATTATCTTTAATCTTCTTCCTTGAATATTAATTCTCCCTTTAAATACTATTTCTATATCAATGTTGGGAAGTGTTACTAAGATGACAAATAGTTAACATCTTGACATTAGTTATAGTAATAATTATTTCTTCCTCTACGTTAATATTGGGGAATGTTACTAAGATGACAATTAGTTAACATCTTGATATTAACTATAGTAGGATTCATCTTCTTTAATATTCTTTCTTGAGTATTAATTAATCCCTATTCATATTTCATATTAATATTTTGAACATTACTTAAAGGATCAACTAGTTTTGTTTCATATATTAATTAATACTAGAATCGGTCGATTAATACGCTTGTTATTAATTCGGTCCTTTCATGGTAGTAAACTTGGATTATTAATGCATGCATCTCATGGTTAATAATCTAAGGGGAATTAATTATATTGATTAAACCAATAAACCGCTTGTGTTGAGGTTATCAGTCTCAATCGTTTTCATCTTAAGTTTATTGCTACTATCAAGTTAATATACGGCGCTTGTTCTATATTGACTCGATAGTAAGTTTTATTAATGAACGCTTCTCGTTATTAATAACTACCCTCGATGAACTGGATATACTCCTCGATTGAGTATTCGAGAGGAAGATAGTTAAAGATATAACCGGGATCGACGAACATTTCATTAAGTGGATAAAAGCAAAGCCAAGTCTTCTTCTTATTTATTAAACCACATAACTCGTTCATCTTCGTGTTTAATTTATTAAACCAAATCAAATTAAAACCCCCCATTTTGTTACTAGTTCTATAAAAAGAAAAGTATTCCTTTCCCTGTGGATACGAACCTTACTACGCTATACTACGTATAAGTGTTGTATTGTATTATTATTTGGAGTGCACATCACGACAAAGTGCACGTCAATGGACTATGTTCATGGACGCCTTGTTTGACTAAGTCACGTTGACTCGCGGGTGACGTCATTTAGTCATACGGCGGTTGTACACGCGCTCAGATGCGGTCTGGGGCGTGACAATTAAGTGGTATCAGAGCCATCTCAGTTCTAAACTATATAATCAACCTCTCACAAAAGATTTTACAGAAGAGTTTTTACCGAAAACCATGAGCATTGTATTTTGACGTTTATGGGACTATTGGTGCTTAAGTTGCAAGGCCTCTAATTGTTAAGACGGTACCCTTAACAATTGGTATGGTGGTGACTTGGGTCAATACGTGTCTATAACGTTTTTCCGTCAATTGACATTCATAGGAGTCTAAAGACTCGTCCAAATTCCGTTTCAGAAATGGAGGGTAAGCGAATGGCAACAAGGAATGACCCTAAGGGAGAAGCGTCGGTAGCTTACCTTGAGGCTAGCCGGGCTGTGTCACGAGCCTTTACGGGGAGAGGAATAGGCCATGGGGGCCGTGAGGGCCGCCAAGCGGCAAGCGCTAATCAAGTGGGCTCGATGTGTAACATGAACACCAGGAGGAAAGAACGTAGGCGTCAGGCGAGGCGAGATCGGGCCACCTCCCAACGTGATATGACTGTCAGCCAAACCCATCCTTGGGCAAACGACCAAGGAGGAGAAAGCACTCTTACGGCACCGGCATCACCGGTGAAAAAGAAAAGGACCTCAAGGTGGCATACGTCCTTTCCTTACTCTTTCAGACCATCCAAATGTTCGAATTGCTTTAAGAAACATTTCGGAAAGTGCAACGAGCCCCCGATGTGCTACGAATGTGGGAGCACAACCCACATGAAATTAAGTTGCCCATGGAGGAGGCAACGAGAGACATCACAAGCCAAGGAAGGGCTCACCGTGGAAGGAAACCATACGGAACCAACGGCGAGCAACGCTACGTCCGTCAATCAAGGCAGGGCCCAAGCACGAGACTACGCGATGACCGAGGCGGATGCGCGGGCAAACCCGGACTCCGTCGCAGGTAATACACTTAATTCCATGTATTTCTAGGCTTATTTTGATCATATGCACCGTTGGGGGTTGAGTTCGGGCCACCCCGGGATCAAACGGAGCGAAATTGGGCGAAATTGGGCGAAATCAGGTTGATTTCTGCCAACGCACTACAGGCTGGGCTGCACGCACGGCCGTGCGTTGCCCGTGCGTACCTCCGTGCGTTGGTGGCAGTAGCACCCCGGAGGAAATCGCTGCACGCCCGGCCGTGCGTTGCCCGTGCGTACCTCCGTGCGTTGGTGGCAGTAGCACCCCGGAGGAAATCGCTGCACGCCCGGCCGTGCGTTGCCCGTGCGTCCCTCCGTGCGTTGGGGGCAGTAGCCTCCATTGGGAAGGCAAGGTATGCACGACCGTGCGTACCCCCTACGCACGCCGTGCGTGGACCCCTGGCACCCGAAACTTGATTTTTTCGTCCCGTTCTTCTACGTTTGGACCCCCGTTTGATTCCAAACATTAGTATGAACCTAATAACCTCCTAAAGATGTGTAAAAACATTAGAAAAGGTATCTTACATGGTGTATAAATGTAGGAACATTAAAGATCAATGGTAGGTGTGCGAGGATCCTCATCGATACCGGGGCACAACGCTCATTTGTGAGTGAGGCGTTCGCCGAGGGCCTTGACGTGCCATTGACACCTATGACACAAACGTTGCTAGTCTCCACACCGTTAGGAGACGACGTGGAGAGGAATCATTTCTATCCGTCGTGTGAGGTAGAAGTGACGGGTCAACATTTGACTTGTGATTTCGTACCTCTAAGCATGTTGGAGTTCGATGCAATCCTAGGAATAGATTGGCTCGAGAAACACCATGCTCGAGTGGATTGCTACACCAAGGTGTTGGAGCTCGAGGATGATCAAGGGAACACGCTATGTTTTGAAGGAGATCGGGGGAAGTCCCATGCATGTATCATATCCGTGATGAGAGCACGGAAGATGATGAGGAAGGGATGCCACACATACCTTGCCTACGTGGTGGACGATACCAAGAAGGAAGTCGACATCAAAGATGTATGGGTCGTATGCAAATACCCGGATGTATTTCCCAAAGACCTACCGGGGCTTCCACCCGATAGAGAGATAGAGTTTGTAATTGAAGTGGAGCCGGGAACCAAACCCATTTCGATTCCTCCTTATCGAATGGCGCCGGCCGAACTCCAAGAGTTGAAGGTCCAACTACAAGAATTACTGGACAACGGGTTCATCAGACCCAGTCATTCACCGTGGGGAGCACCCGTACTCTTCGTAAAGAAGAAAGATGGTACGCTAAGAATGTGTATCGACTACCGACAATCGAACAAGGTCACCATCAAAAACAGGTATCCCTTACCGAGGATTGATGACTTGTTCGATCAACTTCGAGGGGCAATAGTGTTCTCGAAAATTGACTTGAGGTCGGGGTATCATCAGTTGAAGATCAAGGAGAGTGACATACCTAAGAGTGCATTTCGCACTAGATATGGTCACTACGAGTTTCTTGTGATGTCATTTGGTTTAACCAATGCACCGGCAGCATTCATGGACTTGATGAACCGTGTGTTTAGTGAATACTTAGATCAATTTGTGATAGTATTCATTGATGATATCTTAATATACTCCAAGAGCGAGGAGGAGCACGAACATCATTTGGGGCTTATACTTGATCGACTAAGGGAAAAGCAACTCTTTGCCAAGTTCTCTAAATGCGAATTTTGGCTCAAGGAGATTGGTTTCCTCGGTCATGTCATATCCGGTTCGGGCGTTGCTGTGGATAACGCCAAGATAAAAGCTATCATGGATTGGGAGAGACCCAAGAATGTGAAAGAGATACGTAGTTTCCTTGGCCTAGCGGGATACTATCGTAAATTTGTTGAGAAATTCTCCGTATTGGCGTCCCCATTAACGAAGCTCACAAAGAAAGGGGCCAAGTTTATATGGGACGACAAGTGTGAGAAAGGGTTCCTTGAACTGAAGAAACGACTTACCGAAGCACCAGTCCTAGCCCTACCCATACAGGGGATAGGGTATGATATCTACAGTGATGCTAGCATCCAAGGGCTTGGATGTGTACTGATGCAAAACGGTAAAGTGATTGCCTATGCTTCAAGGCAATTAAGAAAGCACGAGGTGAACTACCCTACCCATGATCTAGAATTAGGGGCGGTAGTGTTTGCACTGAAAATCTGGAGGCATTATCTCTACGGGGAGACATGTCACATTTTTACAGACCATAAGAGCTTGAAGTACGTATTCACTCAGAAAGAGTTGAATATGAGGCAGAGGAGATGGATGGAGTTGATCAAGGACTATGACTTGATCATCGACTATCATCCCGGAAAGGCCAATGTCGTGGCTGACGCACTGAGCAGGAAGAATACGACAGGGACGCTACTCACATGTCTACAGGCATTGAGGGCACGCGTGGAGGTGTCCACGTGTGGGGCTCTCATTGCTCGATTCGAGGTTAGGCCCACCCTATTGGGCGAGATTAGTCGAAGTCAGGCCATGGATGAGGAATGTCAGAAGATCCGTGAAAGGATCCTTGCGGGGCCCGTTGAGAACTTCCGAGTACGTGATGACGGTCTATTATTGTTTAAGGATCGTGTATGCATACCAAAGAATGAGGAACTCCAGAAGTCTATACTTGAGGAGGCTCATTCTTCAGCTTATGCTATGCATCCAGGAGGTACTAAGATGTACCGAGATTTGAAGGAAAGTTACTGGTGGTCAGGTATGAAGAGAGACATCGCAGAGTACGTGAGCCGATGCCTTACTTGCCAACAAGTTAAGGCGGAGCATCAGCACCCAGCGGGGCTTTTGCAACCACTTACCATTCCAGAATGGAAGTGGGAGCATGTGACCATGGACTTCGTGGTAGGGCTACCCCGGACAGTGAACAACTACGACGCAGTTTGGGTAGTGGTTGATAGGCTCACCAAGAGCGCACACTTCTTACCTATCAACATTACTTACCCTCTTGAAAGGTTGACCAAGTTATATGTGGAAGAGGTTGTGAGATTGCATGGAGTCCCGATATCCATTGTCTCGGATAGGGATCCACGATTCACATCCAAGTTTTGGCCAAAGTTTCAAGCATCATTGGGTACTAAACTGAAGTTTAGCACAACCTTTCACCCACAGACAGATGGACAATCTGAGCGGGTGATACAGATTTTGGAAGACATGCTTAGGGCATGTGCCTTGGAGTTCCAAGGGAGTTGGGACAAACACATGGCTTTAGTGGAGTTTGCCTATAACAACAGTTATCAGGCAAGTATTGGCATGCCTCCGTACGAGGCACTGTACGGGAGGAAGTGTAGGACACCATTGTGTTGGGACGAGGTTGGTGAGGCCAAGCTCGAGGGAATAGAACTTGTTGAGATCACCAAGGCTAAGGTGAAAATCATTCGTGACAGATTGAAGGCCGCTCAGGACCGACAAAAGAGTTATGCTGATAAACGGCGGAGACCATTGGAGTTCGAGGTCGGTGATGAGGTCTTCCTAAGGATTTCTCCTTGGAAGGGCATCATCCGATTCGTATCGAGGGGGAAGCTTAACCCCCGATACATAGGTCCGTTTGAGATCCTTGAGAGGATTGGAGCCGTGGCTTATCGTCTCAAGTTGACGCCTGAACTTGAGAAGATACGTGACGTGTTTCATGTATCAATGCTCAAGAAGTACATACGAGACCCATCTCATATTCTTGAGAAACCACCGGTAGAGATCCGTGAGGACTTGCATTATGCGGTGGAACCAGTAAAGATTGTTGGTCAACAAGTGAAGAAGCTTAGGAATAAGGAGATTCCTATGGTAAAGGTTCTTTGGAGGAGTGATCGAGTCGAAGAAGAAACTTGGGAGACCGAGGTCTCAATGAGGGAGCAATACCCATTTCCTTTCGATTAGATACTTGGATTTCGGGGACGAAATCCCAAATAAGGGGGGGTGAACTTGTAACACCGTCCCCAAGTATATTTACTTTTATGTAAATAATGTATTGAACCTTATCAAAGGATTAATGAATTTACGAAGTTGTAAATTTTTATTATTTCTTTCGCGCGAATAGTAAATTGCACGTGGGACCCACACCGGGAGCGGGGGCCGCCCGACACTCCCGAGACCACATGTTTTATTCATCTTGGTCAAGATAATATTTATATAGTGGTGGATATTTTATTTGGGTCATGGAAAGGCACAGAGTTGACCGATTGGGAAAAAGAGGCTCAATTACCGGTACTGACAATTTAACAGATAGCAGCCCGGAAATGAATTTCGGAGGCTTATAAATTAAAGTTGGGGAATGTATATTCATTATAAATGTCATAATGAGTAAGAGAACATAATATATTTTATTTGACCCGATAAAATAAAATATATTTAAAACAGTCCGAAAAATACAACTTTCGGGACCGAATGTACATTTCGGGACAAGTTGGGATGACCTCCCACATGAGTGGGGGCCACCCCACGTTTTTGTGTGCTCAACAAGACCCATGGGGGGGCTGGAAGGACAAATGAGTATGTGGAGGAGGATTATTTGGCATCTATAGTACCAAAGAGGACCCCCCACCTCTCTTAATTGTCTTTGAGACAAAGGTGAGTGCCCTCTCTCTCACCCCTATCTTTCAGCTCGTCCAACCCCATCAAGAAAGGAGAAGGAAGCTCTCAAACCATCCTCCATAGCCACCAAATTCGAGCTCAAGCATAAGTGCTCAAAGAAGAAAGATTAAAGAAGGAAAAAGGCTAGGAAAAGTGTGTAAATTAAGGTAATGACCTCATTATAACTTTTCCTTTATTTTTATCCTACCATATGAGATATGTATCATGTGAAGAACCCTTAAGAGGGTTCTACATGTTATAAGTATGGATTTATGGGTTATGAAGTGATTCTATGTCCAAGAACGGTCTTAGAAGCCAAAACGACCGGTTCACCGGAAAATAACCTTTTTGAGGTTATTTGTATTAATATGGGTTTTATGATTATAAAACCTTGTTAGGAACTTGTGAAAGGTATTTCAAGTGATTTCACAAGGTTGGGAAAGTCGCCGGAATTGTCGCCGGAGTTGACCAAAAGTCGCCGGAGTTTCACCGGAGTTCAACCAAGAAGGGTAGAACTTCATAACGCTAATTCAAGGTGAGTGGACGGCTTAATGTCTTATAACTCTTGGGTTAAGTATGAGATTACCTAAATAAATGTTATAAGTATTCATAATGATGTTTAAAAGAGTTTAAGCATGTGATTAGCCAAGGTGATTAGGCTTATGTGAATGAAACTACATGATTATGCATGTGGGAAGTAGAAAATATATATAAAACATATGTGATGTTTTGGAAGGCCAAAATAACATTTATTGATTGTTTTAGACATGATATAGGTTGTATAAAAATTTCGGATCAAACGGATCACGGTTCGGGGGTCAACTCGGGGGTCAACGGGCCGTTGACCCAAAACTCCGAACATACCCGGCGCCGGGTATAGGGCATACCCGGGGCCGGGTAAGCTACTGCCTCCACACTTAAATTTCACTAAAAACGCGAACCGAAGTCCGGTTCGAAGGAGGGGCTGACCCCGTACAACCTATGTGTGTATATTGTGCATGGAATTGCATGGAATATGATGATTTAATGTCAAGATTGACATTCATTGATTTAATTCTAAGACTTGGTTAGTCTTTAGTAATAATATGATATAGACCCTATCTAGTGTGATATGTGGTAAGTCATAGGTCGGGTGGAGTACCCAGGGATCGGGCGTGTATCCTCAAAACTCGGTTATATAGGGTGGAGTACCCAAGGATCGGGCGGTTATCCTCAAAACTCGGTATATATGTATATATATAGGGTGGAGTACCCAAGGATCGGGCGGTTATCCTCAAAACTCGGTTATATAGGGTGGAGTACCCAAGGATCGGGCGGTTATCCTCAAAACTCGGTATATATGTATATATATAGGGTGGAGTACCCAAGGATCGGGCGGTTATCCTCAAAACTCGGTATATATGTATATATATAGGGTGGAGTACCCAAGGATCGGGCGGTTATCCTCAAAACTCGGTTATAGGGTGGAGTACCCAAGGATCGGGCGTGTATCCTCAAAACTCATAGATTACATTTAATGATCTAGGACCGGGCGGTGTCCTTATGATAATTTACTTGAACAAGGAGGAGTTCTATACACTCATAGGTATATGGGTGGGTTGGGATTTAAGTCAAGGACATTGGCTTCTATTATTTTTCCCAAATAAACAATGACCTACGGGTCGGGTATTTCCAAGTGTATATATACCAATATGTATTTCAAATCTTGGGGAAAGGACTATACGTATATGTATCACCCTATGTTTGGGTCTTATACTTGAAACGTTAGTTATTCTACATTTAGCCTGCTACTCGCTCGGTACTTGTACTGACCCCTTCGGGGGGGGCCCACCATTTCAGGTTGAAGCTCAAGTTGCTATTCTCACCTTGCTCGGTGAAGTGATCCAAAGGGAGACGTGGTTCGTGCTTCCTTTAATGTTTTAAACTACAAACTTGCTCATGGATATTTTTGTAATAAATACATTTGTTTTGGGCCTGCGTGCCTACGTTTTGGCCATGTGTGGCCCACGATTGAATATTGAATATTTCCGCTATTCGTTCAATCCTATTGCGTGATGTTGTTATGTATGTTTACTTACTGAGTATGGTATGGACTATGTTCATGGACGCCTTGTTTGACTAAGTCACGTTGACTCGCGGGTGACGTCATTTAGTCATACGGCGGTTGTACACGCGCTCAGATGCGGTCTGGGGCGTGACATTCCCTGCGTAATTGTAGTAGCCTAATATATAACAAATGATTAATTTATCCGGTTTTTTTAATAAAGGGCCGGTTTCGATGGACTGAAGCACAAGGCCCCGATATTCTTAGAGCCTATAATGATAGGATTTCGAATTGGCTACTTTTAATAAAGGGCCCACTTTTAGGCGTGCCTGAGCGCGTGGTGTGCAGCCTAGATGGTGTTCGGATGAAGTGTGGGCCAACCTTTGTCGCCACTGGTCTTCGGATCCTCACTTCTTGGCCAGAAGTGAAACCGGTAGGAAAAACCGGATGTCCGAGAAGGCATTGGAGACACAATGGCACAGGGGTCGCAAACCTCAGAGTAAACATAGAGAAACTCTTGTAAGTCTTATTCAAAAAAACCTTACATCATTACAACCCTTCATTTTCTACATTTATTTATGAATTTTAAGTTTTTTTCGAACCATGTAGGCGGGGCCTGAGAAGAAGAAGGTCTCGATCCTCAAGGTCATCAAGCATTGTTGGACAAAGCACGGCGACGAGTCGGAAGTCGATCTTCCACCCCGCCTCACTGAAATCGAAGTAAGTAACATCAATTTTGTTATTTAGCGACATTTCAAATCTAAGTAAATAACATTCCAATAATTTTTGTACATGTAGACGAAGTATAACACAAATGTTGAGAAGAAGCGTGCGGAATTAGGCTTGACCCAGGAGGATGAGATCGATTCTGATGTGGAAGATGATGCGATCACTGAGGCAGCTGGGGTGTGTAAGGGTCGGGTTCCGTGCATGGGGGCTGAGAGGCAGCGGATTTTGTATGACCGCAGCGGCAGCGAAGCTTCATCTTCTCGATCAAGGCGGAGAGAGGATCCACGCATCGCCCAAATGCAGCGAGAAGTGGAGGAGCAGCAGCGGGCATTAGAGCAGCAACAGAAGGAGGAAGAAACAAGCGCCCGGCTGGAAGCGATGGAACGGATCTTAAACGTCGGTTATCAGCCTCCGCCTCAGCCTCATCCTCGACCGTACATATTGCACCCTGAGCAGACTTCTCAAGTTCCGTACATGGGCAATATGGGTTATCATTCTAACTCCGGATATGGTAGCATGCCTACGATGGGGCCGACATTCGGATCTCTGTCGTATGATTTCTTGAATCAATTTCAGTCATCCGGAGGACGCAGCCGTGGAGCCAGCCGAGGACCCAGCCGAGGAGGCAGTGGAGGAGGCAGCTGAGGAGAAACCCGACCCGAAGACCCCGTGGAGCCCGAAGAGGATGATTATCTTGTTTTTTATGACAATGATGCATATGATAATGATGATCCTAATTTTTATCATAATGGAGTCCGACGGCCGGCATGCAATAATACATTTTTAAGTTTAAAATTTCATATTACCTTTATAATTCCAGTCTCTAATAACTTTTATTAAGTTTGTTGTATGTGTATGAATTTTATTTTTTTATTTAATGTTATAATTGCTTTACTTTTTAAAATATAATCTTTTTCTTGATAAATTTTTTAAATATTTTTAACAACTATTTTTTTATAGAAAAATTAAAATATTTTTTTAAAAATGGAAAAACTTTTTTTAAAAAAAAACATAAACTTTAGTCACGGATCTGATCCATGACTAATTTTTTGTCCGGAATTCTTTTATATAAATTTAAAATTTATTTTAAAAAAAAAAAGGAATAGTCACGGATTCATGTCCGTGACTAATACAAAATTTGAAAATTTGAACCGGAGGTTTTTGAAAATTTGAAAACTTAGTCACGGATCTTTCCGTGACTAATATGGCCGAATTTTAAAAACAAAAATAAACTTAGTCACGGATGTGTCCATGACTAAGATAAAAAAAAAAAACTTAATCACGAATCTGATCCGTGACTAATGTGCCGGAGCAGCTATTCCGGTCAAGAATTAGTCACGGATCTGGTCCGTGACTAATCCGTGACTACATTTAGTCACGGATAAATTGTAGTGACTACATTTAGTCACGCCCGATTAGTCACGGATTTAATCACGGACAAAATCCGTGACTAACGGAGTTAGTCACGGATTTTTTACACTGCGGTCCGTGACTACATCCCTATTTTTTGTAATGTCAATTTGTTAATCTGTATAAGATTTCCAAAGTGTATGCTATTAACACAATTGTCAAGCCAACATAGAAGAAGAAAATCTAGATAATGGTTTATGGATGTTATTTTTTTGACTGCTTTCAATTTCAAATCATATCAGATTAGATCATACCAGACTTAGACAATCACTACAGATTAGATCAAATTATATGAAATTAAAATATACAAAGACCAAACATCTATCATATCAGTTCAGATCAAACCAAACTTAAACAGATCAGATCAAACTTAAATAGATCAGACCAGAATAACGAATTTCAGTCCAAAAAACATCCTAATATTGCAAAAACTTTGCACAATTCTGTGATAAAATGGTATGACACATATTTTAGAGTGTTTAAACTTTAAATTGCCGAATTGAAAGGAAAGGTTTAACATTGGCACATTGCCCAATAAGGAGACCTTTTGCGTGTTCAATAGGAATTGAACTCCTCTCAAGTCACCAGAAATTCCAGTAGGAGAGAGAATGAGATAGATGAGAAGGTTAGTGTGGTAAGGAAAAATAAAAGGTGGGGTGGGGTTAGTGATTTGTTGGAGAGACAAAAAGAAATGGAGAGGGAAATGGAGCAAAATAAATGGAGAGGGGTATAAGTTTCTAATCCTTACTTTTTATTTTTGTACTCCCTCCGGATCTCTTTAAACTTTACAATTTGACTTCACATTGATTAAGGAAATAAATTTGACTTTACTGTAAAGTACACTGTTGAGACACTGTTTGGCACTGTTTGGCACTGTTGAGACACTATTTGGCACAGTTGAGACATTGTTTAATACTGTTTTGATGTAGATTTCTTTGCCAAATAAGGAAATAAGTGTGAAGTTTATTTTGGACCGTCCCAAAAAGGAAAGTGTGAAGTTTAAAAAGTTTATTTGGCACTGTTGAGACACTATTTGACACTGTTTAACACTGTTTTGATGTAGATTTCTTTGCCAAATAAGGAAATAAGGAAGTGTGAAGTTTATTTTGGACCGTCCCAAAAAGGAAAGTGTGAAGTTTAAAAAGAACCGGAGGGAGTATAATTCAAACAACACCCCAAAAAATTAAGGTGTATGTTTGGCATAACACTTTTATGAGTTGTTTTGAAATTTTAACTTTTTTTAGAAGCTACTAAGAGTAACTTCTGAGAGTAGTTTAATATTAATTAGTCATAACAATTTACTATGCCAATTAGAACAACATCAATAATAATAATAATAATAAAGCTACAATCTTTCCTTTTAACATCTTTCTAATTATTAAAAACTAAACATTCATGTTAACCGACTCCAAAATCTTTTGGGAACAAGTTTGGATGTTGTTGTGATTGTAGTAAAAACTAAAGAACTTAGTCAAAATGAGAGTAAATATGTTTTGGAATTTTAAAATAGAAGCGATGTGTTTCATGATTTCAAGTCAAACTGAGCAATTCCACATTCTTGAACATTGGGTTAGTATGACTTTGGAAGTTAGGCTCTTGGAAGATACCAACCTCGATTACGGGACAGAACTGGACTAGGACTAACCAGTTATCCCCTTGGAATGTTCTTTAGGATTGAACTACTCAAAAACGGGAAGACCCAATATGCCATTCCAGTTGCAGTTCATAGATATTCGGACCTAACTGACCAATTCAAGTCCCACGCGCATTTTCATTTAAGAAATTTTGCCGCTATGGTTTTTGTTAAGGCTTTGCCAATTTGGGAACAAAACCCGCGTGTCTGAAACTGGACTATACCATTCCATCCTAAGTTCCTAACTGTGAGTAAGGATGGCAATGGGGGCGGGGGCCCGTGGGGAACCGCCCCGTGGGGGGGAGTTGGGGCGGGTGGTGGGGTGGGGCGGGGTGGTGGGGTGGGGGAGATATTTTCTCCCCGCAAAAATATGGGGCGGGTGATGGGTTATGCACCCCCCGCCCCGTCCCCGCCCCGTCCCCCGTAATAATTAATAATAATAATCTCAATAATAATAGTAATAGTAATACTAATACGAAGTAATTAAAATAGCATGGTGGTCCGGTGGGTTTAGTGGTTTCCTATCTAATGGATTGTGCGTAATGGATCTATCTAATTCTTGTTTAATAACTAAGCTATCTTGTAAAATTGCTTATCAAAATCATAAAGTAAAATGATTTTTTTAGAGATAAAATAAAATGAATTTGGGAAAGTTATAAAGTGATATTAGCTTAAACGCCTCAGGCACGGTGTGAAAGTTTTTTTCCTTTACTATTATAATGCATTAATTCTTTTCTTTTGAATGTCATCTTTATGATTGTAGTTAGGGCTCTTAAAATTTGGTGATCATATGTCGTCCTAGATGCCGTCAAATGACCATGATTGATTGAATGCAGGGTTTAAGAAAATATTATAGAGCTAATCAATGCTAATTTAGAGTTTGATAAAAATTACTAATTTAGAACGCGTATAATGTGTTCTAGATTTGAAATGGGATGTAAGATTACATTGACACTTCAAAAGTAAAAAAAAAATTGGCTACTAGAAGTGTTGTTAAATTTTTGAAAAATTGTCAGTGTCTAAAATGATGTTAATTTTTGACGAGTACTTCCCCGTTGGGTACCCGTGGGTCTAGCGGGTCGGGGCGGGGATGGGGCGGGTCGAATAGTAGTGGGGGATGGGGCGGGGGTGGGGGCGATTTTTTAGACACGGGGTGGGGGATGGGGGAGTGAACCCCCGCCCCAACCCCGCCCCATTGCCATCCCTAACTGTGAGGAAACCGGCCAAATAGATTTATTTACACTCATTATTATGAATTTGATGTAAAATAAATGAAGTAATGCATTTTGACCCCTGCATTCAAGTTTTTGTTGTAACCAATCTCCAAGGCTATTATATATTCCATGTAGGGATGGATCCGGTCGTGGTTTCGAGCTAAGACCACCCAATCCTTTTAAAAAAAATTGTCAATCCCAAGACACTACAAAAAAATTCGGCTATAGTCACGGATTTAGTCACGGACCACAGTGTAAAAAATCCGTGACTAACTCATTTAGTCACGGATTCTGTCCGTGACTAATTCATTTTGTTCAAATCTGCATTTGGCAATCTTATGAAAAAAAGTAAATCAACTCCGGTTAATGAACAAAGCTCGATCAACGAGCTTTCTTTGTATCTAACATTTCCTGTTGATTATGAAGAAGGGGATGACTTTGACGTTCTTCAGTGGTGGAAGGAAAAAGAGAGAACGTTCCCGATCTTATCAAAGATGGCTAAGCAAGTGCTAGCAATGCCGGTATCAACAGTTGCTGTGGAACAAGAGTTTAGTGCGGCCGGCAACGTCCTAACGGATTATAGAACGAGATTAAGCGCAAACTCTCTTGAGACGCTTGTTTGCTTCCACGATTGGTTGAAGGCCAAACGTAGAACTCAAGAAATCAGCATTGAACCCACTCGCCACTTTATGGAAGAAACAACTGAAGATGGAGGAAATTCTAATTGATTCATACTTAATTACTTATTACAAAGTGTATTTCATGTCTTTATTTTTGCCCCATTTTCAATTGTACTACAAATATGAAATAAATATGTTTTTACCTTTTTTATATCCAAGTAATCTTAATTTGGTATGTAAAAAAAAAAAAAACCCCGGCCCGGCCCGGCCCGTACCCGCCCGGGTCGACCCGACACGAACCGGACCCGGTATCAACCCGGGCCGGTTCCGGGCCAAACATTCTCCAAAAAAAGCCCGCCCGGGCCCGGCCCGGAACCGGCCCGGAACCGGAACCGGCCCGGCCCGGGTCCATCCCTAGGATTACTTTATAGAGTTAGGTGGGGAGGAATGCTCTTCTTCCCGCCGGTGTGGGAAACTTGAATGGGAGAGAAAAAACAAATTTTTTAAAATATAAAGTCTAAGGTAATGGGGCAAGGTTTTGGACACGATAATTTCGTATGAAGTAGTCAAGTAGTCCACTGCTCTGATCAATGCTTTATTTTGAAATTGTGGATTTTTTTTGTAACTAAATTGTGGATTATTATTATTTTAAAGCTTTAATTTATTATTATTATTATTATTATTATTATTATTATTATTATTATTATTATTATAAACTCAATATAAATACGCTAAACATCTACTATGTACTATGTATTACATAGTATTATCAATACTATGTACATTAAGATCAATTCTAATTGATGTAATTATTGTTATTATTACGTATTATATTATCGTTATTATTATATACTCCGTATACTATTGTTATTATTGTATTTTATTAGTAAAATTTGAATGTATTATAGTCACTGAAAATTATAGAATTACATTTATTTCACTATCCTTATTTTATCCATTTATTTAGCATTTTAA